GTGCCACCATGCCCATCTAATTTTGTATTAGTAGAGACAGGGTTTCACTCCACCCACCTCGGCATTCCAAAAGTGCTGGGATTATAGGCGTGAGCCACTGCACCTGGAGCCCAGGCTAGTCTTGAACTCCTGTCTTTGAACTCCAATCTTGCCCTCCCAATGTGCTGGGATTACAGGCATGAGCTACCATGCCTGGCATGTGCTTTTTTTTTTTTTTTTTTTGCTTGAGATGGGAGTCTTGCTCTGTCGCCAGGCTGGAGTGCAGTGGTGTGATGTTGGCTCACTACAACTTCTGACTCGCTGGTTCAAGTGATTCTCCTGCCTCAGCCTCCTGAGTAGCTGAGATTATAGGTACGTGCCACCATGCTCAGCTAGTTTTGATATTTTTAGTAGAGATGGGGTTTCACTATGTTGGCCAGGATGGTCTTGATCTCATGGCTACGTGATCTGCCCTCCTTGGCCTCCCAAAGTACTGGGATTACAGGTGTGAACCACTGCGCCTGGCCTTATTTTTTATTTTCTGAGATGGAATGTCACTCTGTTGCTCAGGCCGGAGAGCAGTGGTGGGATCTCGCTCACTGCAACCTCTGCCTCCTGGTTCAAGTGGTTCTCCTGCCTCAGCCTCCCGAGTAGCTGATATTACAGGCATGCACCACCATGCCCAACTAATTCTGATATTTTTAGTAGAGATGAGGTTTCACCATGTTGGCCAGGATGGTCTTGATCTCCTGACCTCGTGATCTGCCCGCCTTAGCTTCCCAAAGTGCTGGGATTGCAGGCTTGAGCCACTGCGCCCAGCTCTGTGCTCTTTTATATGACTGGCAGCACGATAGGTTTGTTGACGTCAGCATCACCACAGCCTCATAATGCACTGTGCTAGGATGGCAATATCCAGCTACGGTCACTTGGTGACAAGAGTTTTTCAGCCCCGTTACAATCTGACCGAGGGTCACTGCACATGTGTTACATTGCTGACTGAAATGACATTATGCAGCCCGTGACTGTGTTTAGGTGTTCTTCAATTTTTCAAAGACTATTTTCTAGTATGTAGAGTATATGTTTTACATCTTTGTTAAATTTATTCCTTTTTATTTTGATGCTATTGGAAATAAATTTTAAAAGGAAAATTTTTTTTTTTTTTTGAGGTGGAATCTCTCTCTTGTCACCCAGGCTGGAGTGCAGGGACGAGATCTTGGCTCACTGCAACCTCCACCTCCCAGGTTCAAGTGATTCTCCTGTCTCATCCTCCTGAGTAGCTGGGATTACAGGCATGTGCCACCACGCTCTGATAATTTTTTTTTTTTTTTAGTAGAGACAGGGTTTCACCATGTTGGTCAGGCTGGTCTGGAACTCCTGACCTCAGGTGATCCACCCACCTTGGCCTCCCAAAGTGCTGGGATTACAGGCCTGAGCCACCACACCCGGCTTGGATGTCTTTCATTCCTTTTTTTTTTTTTGCCTAATTGCCCTGACTGGAAGCTCCATGCAATGCTGAATAGAAGCAGAGACTGGAGATCCTTGTCCCATTCCTGATCTCAGAGAGAAAAATCCAGTCTTTCACTATTATGTTACCTGTGGGGTTTTCTCTTTTTTTTTTTTGGTAATTTTTGTTTTAGTAGAGACGTAGTTTTGCCATGTTAACCAGGCTGGTCTTGAACTCCTGACCTCACTCAATCTGCCCTACTCTGCCTCCCAAACTGCTTGGGATTACAGGCATGAGCCACCCCCGGCCTAAATTTTTTTTTTTTTTTAGACAGTTTCGCTGCACTTGCCCAAGCTGGAGTGCTCACTGCAACCTACGCCTCCTGGGTTTGAGCAGATCTCCTGCCTCAGCCTCCAAATAACAAAGATTATAGGCGCCCACCACCACGCCCAGCTAATTGTTTTATTTTTAGTAGAATGGGGGTTTCACCATGTTAGCCAGGCTGGTTTGTTGTTTTTATCAGGAAAGGGTGTTGGATTTTGCCAAATGCTTTGTGTCTATTCGGTGATCACATGGCTTCTGTCCTTTCGTCTACTGATGTGGTGTGCAGGCATCCCCAGATCAGTCCTAGGTTTGGCGATTTCACCAGGAGTCACAGGACAGCCTGTCGTTATACTCCTAAGATTTACTATGGAGAAAAGATGTGATGCAGAATTTGCAACAGGAAAAAGCAGGTGGGGTGAAGTCTGGAGGAAACCAGGTACAAGCTCCCAAAGTCCTCCCTGCCTGGAGTCACACAGAATGTGCTTAATCCTCTAGCCACAAGCTGTGACATGTGCAGGGGTTTTATTGGGGGTTGGTCATGTAGGTACATTGTGCCTGGGTGACTGAATATGGTCACCGAAATTCCAGACTCAGAAGAAAAGCAAATGTTCAGCGAATCTCACGTGATTTGTACAGAGAAGATTTGCAGTTGTTACTTAGGGATACCACTGTATCCACGCAGGCGCGCTCTACCAGTCAAGTTACAGATGCTGGCTGTGTGCGGTACTCTTATCTGTAATCCCAGCACTTTAGGAGTCCAAGGTGGGTGGATCACTTGAGGTCAGGAGTTTGAAAGCAGCCAGGCCAACATGGTGAAACCCCATCTCTACTAAAAATACAAAAAGTCAGCTGTGTGTGGTGGGCACCTGTAATCCCAGCTACTTGGGAGGCTGAGGTTGCAGTGAGCCAAGATCATGCCACTGCACTCCAGCCTGGCCGACAGAGTGAGATTCCATCTCGAAAAAAGTTCCTGGGTGCCAAGTAAGAGTGAACCTTGCACACAGGCTGTTCTTAGGGCAGCAGTCTCAGGCCTGCTGTGTTAAGTCTGATCTGTACATATGGTGTATTACATGAATTGGTTTTGCATGTGAATGAATTCCTAGGAGAAATCTTGGTTGTGGTATATAATCCTTTTTTAGGTTGCTGGATTCTGTTTGCTGGTATTTTCTGGAAGATTTTGTATTCTATATTCCTAAGAAATACTGGTCTGCAGTTTTCTTTTTGTGATTCCTTTGCTTGGTTTTGGTATTGGGATGACACTGGTCTTACAGAATGAGCTGGGGCCAGGCATCGTGGCTCATGCCTATGATTGCAGCACTTTGGGAGGCCAAGGCAGGTGGATTGCTTGAGACCAGCCTGGGCAACATGGCAAAACCCTGTCTCTACTAAAAATAAAAAATTAGCCAGGCGTGGTGGTGCGTGCCTGTAGTCCCAGCTTCTCAGGAGGCCGAGGTTGCAGTGAGCTGAGATGACACCACCACACTCCAGTCTGAATGTGAGAGGGAGACCCTGTCAGAATGAGGTCCATAGTAATGTCCCATCTTTCATTCCTGATTTTAGTATTTTCAGTACTCCTTCAGTTTTTTTGATCTTTAGCTAGAGCTAAATATTTCTCAGTTTTCTTGGTTTTACATTTCTTTCCTTCTGCTTTAGTTCTTTTTTCTAATTTTTGCTTTTTTGTGTGTGTGTGTGTGTGTGTGGAGATGGGGTCTCACCCTGTTGCCCAGGCTAGTATCGAAATCCTGGGCTCAAGTGATCCATCTTGGCCACCCAAAGTGCCAGGATTACCGGTGCAAGCCCCTGTGCCCAGCCCTGTTTATTCATTCAGAGATGGGCTCTTGCTGTCACCCCGCTGGCAGCGGTGGTGTAATGCCTCACTGCAGCTTCCACCTCCAGGTTCATGCGCTACCACCAGCACATGCTACCATGTCTGGCTAAGTTTTTGATTTTTTTGGTAGAGACGAGGTCTCACTACGTTGCCCAGGCTTCTTCCTTTTTAGTGTTTTTAGATACAGATTTCTCTCTAAGCGTGGCTTTCAGTGAAGCCCATAAGTTATGTCTCCATTTTCATTTATTTCAAAGTATTTTGTAATTATCTTCTTTGGCTCATTGTTCTAAATTACAGACAGGGTCACGCTCTGTTGCCACAGCTGGTTTCAAACTCCCGGGCTCGAGTGATCCTCCTGCCTCTGCCTCCCACAGTGCTGAGATTATAGGTGTGAGCCACTGTACCCAGCCTGACTCACTGGTTTCTTATAAATATGTACAAATTAACACACTCTTGAGTTTCCCACTTTTTTTTTTTTTTTTTTTTTTTTTTTCATTGACATGGTCTTGGCACAATCTTAGCTCACGGCAACCTCTACCTCCTTAGTAGCTGGGATTATAGGCATGTGCCATCACACCCAGCTAATTTCTGTATTTTTAGTAGAGATGGGGTTTCACTATGCTGGCCAGGCTGGTCTCGAACTGCCAATCTCAAATGATTTGCCAGCCTTGGCCTCCACAAGTCCTGGGATGGTATGAGCCACTTCGCCCAGCCCTAAAAGGACTGAAATCATACAGAGCATGTTCTTTGACCACAATGGGATATTACAGTCAACCACAAGGCCGGGCAAGGTGGCTCACACCTGTAATCCCAGCACTTTGGGAGGCTAAGGTGGGCAGATCATTTGAGGTCAGGAGTTTGAGACCAGCCTGGCCAACATGATGAAACCCTTTCTCCACTAAGAATATAAAAATTAGCTGGGTGTGGTGGCACATGCCTGTCATTCCAGCTACTAGGGAGGCTGTGGCAGGAGAATCACTTCAACCTGGGAGGTGGAGGTTGCAGTGAGCTTAGATCGAGCCAGTGTACTTCAGCCTGAGCAACAGAGACTCCATGACAAAAAAAAAAAAAAAAAAAAAGGTACCTTGCTTTATGGCCTGGCTGTGGTTGACCCTCAAGAGCATTCCACATATCTTGAGAAGAACTTGAATTCTGCTGCTGGCAGCTGCCCTCTCGTTCTTGCTCTGGGTTACTCACTTTGGGGGATGATGGCTGCCATGGGAAAGACACTCAAGCTGCCCCCAGGAGGGGTCCCTGTGGTGAGAAGCAGCTCTACCAGCCCACAGCCATGAGGCAGCAGATGCTCCAGGTGGCTGCTGCCCTGGCTCACACATTCTATTCATCCCAGCCTAGCCACTCCTAGCATGTTGACCCACAAAAGCCGAGACGGCACGTACTTGTTAATGTAACCAGTGACGCACCATTAGATAACCAGTACAATTACCCAGAAAGCAGCGGGCCTTCAGCAGAACATGTCTTGAAGCACAGTTCAACTTGGATCTTTTCTGAGAAAAAAAAAATAATGAAAACATGAATTAAGGCCATGAAGATAAAGACAGCCGGGTGGAGGGTGCTGGGAATTCAACATGTCAAGCTGCCTGTCCCTGAAAACATAAGCTACTTGAGATCTTAAGAGTCAGTCTTCAGCTGCTGTCATAGAAAGTACTGGGAGTCAACTAGACATCAAAGACAGGAGGCCAGGCCCCCAGCATAGCTTCTTGTTTAAACCCAGTAGTGGCTTTCTCGGCTGGGCGCAGTGGCTCACGCCTGTAATCCCAGCACTTTGGGAGGCCGAGATGGGCAGATCACCTGAGGTCAGGAGTTCAAGACCAGCCTGACCAACATGGAGAAACCCCATCTCTACTAAAAATACAAAATTAGCTGGGTGTGGTGGCACATGCCTGTAATCCCAACTACTCGGGAGGCTGAGGCAGGAGAAATGCCTTGAGCCTGGGAGTCGGAGGGTGCAGTGAGCCAAGATCATACCATTGTGCTCCAGCCTGGGCAACAAGAGGGAAATTCCGTCTCAAAAGAAAAAAAAAAAAATAGAAAATAGTGGCTTTCTCAAATCCTTTTTTCAAAAAAATTTTTTGTACAGATAGGGTCTTGTTCTGTCACCCAGGCTGGATGGCAGTGGTACAAACATGGCTCACTGCAGCCTCTATCTCCTGGGCTCAACTGATCCTACCCCCTCAGCCTCCTGAGGAGCTGCAGCCACCAGCATGTGCCACCACACCCAGCTGATTTAAAAAATTTTTAATTGTGTTTTAGAGACAAGGTTTTCCTATGTTGGCGAGGCTGGCCTCAAACTCTGGGGCTTAAGCGATCCTTGTGCCTTGGCCTCCCAAAGTGCTGGGATTACAGGGGTGAGCCACTGTGCCTGGCCAACTGAATTTATTGTTTTGAGACAGAGTCTTAATCTGTTGTCAGGCTGCAGTGGCACCATGTCGTACTTCAGCCTGAGCGACAACCTCCACCTCTGCCTACCGAGCAGCTGGGATTACAGGTGTGAGCCACCACACCTGGCCGACACACAGTGCTTTCTAAAGACTGGTTTTATATTCTGTTCATGTGAAGGGAACCCATTTTAGGTAAAATTCTTGTAAATATGTATGTGCACACAAGCACAGTCTCCTCCATGGGTGCTGGGCCTGGGGCATCAGTTCTGAGGGATAGGAGATGAAGATGTCCCCTGTCGGTACCTGGGTCCTCCTGCTGCGCCGTGCTGGGGAGCCGTTCCCGCTGCCTCAAGGCCTCCAGGCCCACCAGGTCGGGCTGGTGGCAGTGGCTGCGCATGACCATGACCCGGTGGCCCTGGGTGATGGCACGGCTGCGGCAGCCCAGCCGAGCCTGGTCCCGGCACATCCAGTACACCTTGTCCCCGGCCGCCTTCTCCTTCCTGTAGAGGAAGGACTCGTGCACCAGGAACCTGCCCCCCAAAGAAGTCCTCAGGAACTCCAGGGGCTGCAGGGGTTCTGAAAGGGAAAGTGACACTGTTGAGTGGGGCCTGGGTGTCAGGGTTGTGGGTCTATTTCATCCCCCTAGTAGGCCCCGTGGTGGTCCCTGCCCTCCTCCCCTCTACCTGCTCCTCCAGCCCCAACTCCCACGCTGGCTATCTCTTTCCAGGGGCTCGGGGGATGCCTGGGCAGGTGGCCTGGCAGCCGCTGGACCCTGAATGCTCCTAGAGGCCTATCCTGACCCCTTAGACCCATCCCCCAGGGCAGGGACTGGGCACCAAGGCCTCCTGGCTCCCTGTCCACATACCCCTCAGCCAGTGGGCAACCATTTGGACTCTGACTTTTAACAAGCTGAACTGAAAGGTTACATGATGTTGTGGTGGCCAGAGAGAACCCCGTGAGACAGGAGGCAGTTGGGGTGGTGCAGGGGTAGACACAGGGTGTCCAGGGTCCACCCTTTGGCCCCTCAGCAGATGCGAAGCACTATCTGCGGCTGCTGATGCCATCCCCGGCCGCCACCCCCAGCTGCCACCCCCTTCCTCTAGAGAGCTGAGTGGGTTTCTACCCCGACAGCAGAGGGCCAGCAGCAGGAGCGTGGAGCCTGCAGGTGGAGTTTACAGCCCAGGCTGCTGGACCACCATGTACAACACACACACCATGTCCCACAAGCAGCCTCCAGCCAGCCTGTGAGGCACAGGTTCCTGGAGACCGGGGTCACCGAGCCTGCCCGCACCTGGGCTGTCCCAGTGTGCCAGATTGGGGAAGTGCTCCCGCTGCCGCAGGGCCTCGAGGCCGCCCAGGTCCGGCGGGTGGCAGTGCCTGCGCATGACCATGACCCGCTGGCCCTGGGTGATGGCGCGGCTGCGGCAGCCCATGCGGGCCTGGTCCCGGCAGGTCCAGTACACCTTCTCCCCCGCCGCCTTCTCCCGCCGGTAGAGGAAGGACTCGTACACCAGGAAGCTGCCCCCCAGTGGTGTCTTTAGGAACTCAGGGCCTCCTGTTGAGAAATGGGAGAGGCAGTGAGGGCAGGGGAGGGAGGAGGAGAGGACACCAGCTCTCAGAGCGGAGATCAGCAGGGCAAGTGGTGATGCCACCATCCCCCCAACTCTGCTGGGGTCCCCCTCCGGAGGCTGGGGACTGGTCAGTGAGGCCCCACTGCACAATGCCTGCAGGGAGACAGTGTGCGCTGTGCCACACTTTCCCGGCGCCCACCCTGCTTAGCACGCAGGTGTGCCTGGTTGCTCAGAGGAATGACCCAGGGCCTTCAGAGACAAAGCAGCTCAGAAGCTGGATAGGGCTGAGAGGGGTCGCCCCTGGGAGCCAGGCAGGTGGAGATGTGACCCAAGGGCTGTGGGCAGGAAGCAAGGGAGCAGCGCCCACTGTCCTGGATGTGGTGAGGGCAGGACCCTGGGGGTTGGCTGTGCCTTGCCCAGAGGATGCCCTTTCCTCCGTGCAGGCACAGGGGCCACAGAGGCGGGGAGGCAGACTGGGGTGTCTGGGGAACATCAGGTAGCAGTGGAAGCAGGGGATGGGGGTGGGTAGCAGCCCTAGAGGAGGAGGGGACAGAGGGTGGAACCACCTTCAAGAGGGACCGAGAGGGTGACACAGAGCAGGGAGACTTGGAGGTGGGAGGACCCTGCAGGGCACAGCAGCACAGGAGTCTGGGGACAGAGCTGGCCAGAAGGAAGGTGGGACCCCCAGACCACAGGCACACTGCATCCCCTTCCACATGTGAGGAAAACACCCAGCAGGGGCTGGGCGTGGGGGCTCAGCCTTTAATCCCAGCACCTTGGGAGGCCAAGGCGGGTGGATGATCTGAGGTCAGGAGTTTGAGACCAGCCTGACCAACATGGTGAAACCCCATCTCTACTAAAAATACAAAATTAGCCAGGTGTGGTGGCACATGCCTGTAATCCCAGCTACTTGGGAGGCTGAAACAGGAGAATCACCTGACTCTGGGAGGCTGGGGTTGAAGTGAGATTGTGCCACTGCACTCCAGCCTAGGCAACAGAGTGAGACCTGGCTCAAAAAATTAATTTGAAAAAAATTTAAGTTTCAGACAGTACTGCAAAAATGACCCCTCAGGCCAGGCATGGTGGCTCACACCTGTAATCCCAGCAACTTGGGAGGCGGGCGGATCACCTGAGGTCGGGAGTTTGAGACCAGCCTGGCTAACATGGTGAAACCCTGTTTCTATCTATTTAGAGACGCGGTTTCACCATGGCCAGGATGGTCTCGATCTCTTGACTTCGTGATCGGCCCACCTTGGCCTCCCAAAGTGCTGGGATTACAGGCATGAGCCACCGTGCTCAGCCTTGAAACCCTGTTTCTACTAAAAATACTAAAAATTAGCCGGGTGCGGTGGTGGGCACCTGCAATCCGAGCTACTCCAGAGGCTGAGGCAGGAGTATCACTTAAACTCGGGAAGTGGAGGTTTCATTGAGCCAAGATCTCATTATTGCACTCCAGCCTGAGCAACGAGTGAAACTCCATCTCAAAGAAAAAAAAAAAAAAAAAAACCACCACACACCAGACACTGCGGGGGGGGTCTGGGCCGACTGCATGGATGACGACAGAGACAGTCATGACTCTCATGGGCCCGCCTTTCCGGACATTATGTGTGTCTATGGAACTGCTGGCCCAGAGGAGAAGCTGCATGCATGTAAATATCACCTCCTCAATCCTTATCTCCCCACCTTAGGACAGGCTCACACCATAGCAACATGAGACTGACCGTGTGCAGTCACTGGCCTCTATTAAACACCATGAACTCTTTTTTTTTGAGACGGAGTTTCGCTCTTGTTACCCAGGCTGGAGTGCAATGGCGCGATCTCGGCTCACCGCAACCTCCGCCTCCTGGGTTCAGGCAATTCTCCTGCCTCAGCCTCATGAGTAGCTGGGATTACAGGCACGCACCACCATGCCCAGCTAATTTTTTGTATTTTTAGTAAAGACGGGGTTTCACCGTGTTGACCAGGATGGTCTCGATCTCTTGACCTCGTGATCCACCCACCTCGGCCTCCCAAAGTGCTGGGATTACAGGCGTGGGCCACCGCGCCCGGCCAACACCATGAGCTCTTAAACAGGAGGAGGAGAGCAAGGAGGTCTAGCCCTGCTGCGGCTACTGTGGGGCAGGCTGGCCAGAAGGGTGAGGCTGGGCAGGAAGGCGGGACCCCACCATTGAAAGCAGAACCAGGGGGGCCAAGGAGGAGGCCAGGGCCATAGGTCCTTCTATGATGTTCAAAGAAGCGAACAGGACGTTTGCCAGCAGGACATGCAGGGTTTAGGGGGAAAGGCAGCATGGGCTCCTGCCTGCTTCCCAGGGCCCAACTCCCCGCCCATCCCCAGGTACCTGTGCTCCCCCGCTGCACCGGGTTGGGACGTTTCTCCCGCTGCCTCAGGGCCTCCAGGCCCCCCAGGTCGGGTGGGTGGCAGTGGCCGCGCATCACAGTCACCCGCCGGCCCTGGGTGATGGCGCGGCTGCGGCAGCCCATGCGGGCCTGGTCCCGGCAGGTCCAGTACACCTTCTCCCCGGCCGCCTTCTCTCGCCGGTAGAGGAAGGACTCGTATACCAGGAAGCTGCCCCCCAGGGGCGTCTTCAGGAACTCAGGGCCTCCTGGGGAGATTGGGGAGGCCATCAGAGGAGGAGGCAGGGGCTGGGCAGGCCTGATTCCACCCACTCCCATCCCTGGACCTCTGGAAGCAAGAGTCCAGGCAGGGCTGGCGAGCCCCAAAGGAAGGAGGCTCACCAGGGTCTGCGTCCATGCCCTGGTCCTCGTCTGGGGATACTTCGGGGGCTTGGGGCTGGGTTGGCAGCTCCTGGTCCTCGAGCTTTGCTCGCTTTCTGGGCTGGGGCCTGGTGAGAGTCAGGGGGCCGGGGCCCCTGCGGTAGAGCAGACTGTCCACGCCTCGAAGCAGCGTGTCCACTTGGCTCCCAGGGCCGTCCTGCCCAGCCTGAAGCATCTCCATGGTCTTCTCCTGCTGCCGCCGGGCCTCCAGGCCCTCCACGTCAGGTGGGTGGCAGTGGCCACGCATCACGGTCACCCGCTGTCCCTGGGTGATGGCGCGGCTCCGGCAGCTGTACAGCGCATGGTCCCGGCAGGTCCAGTACACCTTGTCCCCAACAGCCTTCTCCCGCTTGTAGAGGAATGACTCATGCACCAGGAAGCTGCCCCCATAGCACGTCCTCAGGAACTCGAGGGGCCGGGCCTGTCCTGGAGGAGGGACTCAGGCGGTCACAGCCCCTGGGGATGGGGAGGAACCCAGGACGGGGCAGCCACTGCAGACTCTGGGGGCTCACATGAGCCTTTCTCCTTTACGGCTGAAATTTACTCTGGCCTCTTGAGCCAGATGTGCTGGAGCCCCCAGTGAAACCTCCCCACCCAGCAACCCAGTAGGGGTCTCGTTCCTTTCCCAGTGGTCAGCGAGGTCAGCCCAGCACACGGCTGTTACGTGCTGCATCAAGGTCACACCTGGAGGGCCAACCTGGACTTGGACTCGGGGGCCTCTGCTGTCACTCCTGCTCATGTATTTTTTTAGGATTTAAAAAATTTATTCTTTTGTGTTCTGGCCGGGTGTGGTGGCTCACAGCTGTAATCCCAGCACTTTGGGAGGCCAAGGCAGGTGGATCATGAGGTCAGGAGTTTGAGACCAGTCTGGCCACTATAGGGAAACCCCATCCCTACTAAAAATACAAAAATTAGCTGGGCATGGTGGCAGGCACCTGTAGTTGCAGCTACTTGGGAGGCCAAGGCAGGAGAATTGCTTGAACCCAGGAGGTGGAGGCTGTGGTGAGCCGAGATCGTGCCAACGCACTGCAGCCTGGGCAACAGAGCAAGACTCCATCTCAAAAATTAAAAAGTACCCATGTTTGAATAACACACGTTATAATACACTCAAATGGCTCCAAAAGATCACAGTGAAAAATAAATCTCCCTCTTCCTCGCCTCTCCCTTCCTGCCCCAGACACACCAGGGCAACGGCCTCAGCAAATTCTTAAAGCCGTGTCAGGAAGTGCCTGGCCTCCTTGAACTCAAGCCCACCTCCTAGTTACTGGTAATAAAACACCCAGAACTCCCACCTGCCACTTGCCAAGCCCCAAATGTGCAATTTAAACGATCCAGGTTATCATAGCAGGCTTAAGATAAAGCACCTGAAACTCGAAAACTGAAGCCCATTTTCTAAGGCTACCATCAGGCAAGGCTGGGATTTCAATCTAGAACCAAAAACCCAAGACTGTTCCACTAGGCGTCTTTCCTGAACTTAATGGACAGCAGAATCGCTCGGGGAACCAGACACAATTCTAAACTGAGACACGGTCTCACTCTTGTCTAGGCTGGAGTGTAGCAGCATGCCTCCCGCTCACTGCAGCCTCCATCTCCACGGCTTAGGAGACTGAGGTGGGCGGACCACTTAAGTGGTGAGACCAGAGGTGCACATCACAACACCTGACGGAATTCTTATAAATGTGAAGTCTCACTATGTTGGCCAGGCTGGTCTTGAACTCCTAGGCTCAACTGATCCTCCTGCCCCAACCTCCCAAAGTGCTAGGATTATAGGCATGAGCCACTGTGCCCAGTCCACATTTACATATACATACCTTTTTCTATGAGACCAAATCTTGCTCTGTTGCCCAGGCTGGCGTGCAGTGACACCATCTCAGCTCACTGCAACCTCTACCTCCCGGGTCCAAGGAATCCTCCTGCCTCAGCCTCCAGAGTAACTAGGATTACAGGCAGCTGCCACCACACCTGGCTAATATTTATATCTTTAGTAGAAACAAGGTTTTACCATGTTGCTCAGGTAGGCCTTGAATTCCTGACCTCAGATGATCCACCCACTTTGGCCTCCCAAAGTGCTGGGAGTACAGGTGTGAGCCACCACGCCCAGCCACATTTATAGTTTTAAAAGTTATTTTAGCTTTGAATAGTTTTTTTTTTTTTTTTTCTGAGCCGAAGCCTCGTTCTGTCACCCAGACCTGAGTGTGGTGGTGCAATCTCGGTTCACTGCAGCCTCCGCCTCCCTGGTTGAAGCAATTCTCCTGCCTCAGCCTCCCAAGTAGCTGGGACTACAGATGTGTGCCACCCTGCCCAGCTAATTTTTGTATTTTTAGTAGAGAGGGGATTTGACCATGTTGGCCAGATGGTCTCAATCTCTTGACCTCATGATCCACCCATCTCGGCCTTCCAAAGTGCTGGGATTACAGGCATCAGCCACCGTGTCTGGCCAGGACCCCACATTACCCCACATTTCTATTTGGACTCAGGACGGGCCCCTGGGTCCCCTGCCCTGCAGTGGGGTGGAATGCACTCACCCAGCCCCAGGATGGAGCGCTTCTTGGGCGGCAGGCTCAGCAGTGACAGGGTACGCGGTCCCTCGTCCTCCTCTCGGGCTGGCTTGCTTAGCACCAGCCCAGGAGTGGGCTCCGACTGTAGCTCCTGGGGACACTGCCACGGGCCCACCCCCTCCAGTGGCTCCTCTACTCTGCCTCCAGGGCCCTCAGGACCCTGGGGATCTCCCAAGCTCTCTGGCAGAGCCAGGCTGGGCAGCTTCTCCCTCTGGCGCCGGGCCTCCAGGCCTTGCTCATCGGGCACGTGGCAGTGGCCCCGCATCACTGTGGCCCGCAGGCCCCGGGTGATAGCCCGGCCGCGGCAACCCAGCTCAGCATGCTGACGGCACTTCCAGTACACTTTGTCCCCCACAGCCTTCTCCTGCTTGTACAGGAAGGACTCCAGCACCAGGAGGCGGCCCCCGAATGGTGTCTTCAGGAACTCCAGGGACTGGGGGGCTGCCAGGGGAAGGGGAAGACTAGGTTAGCTGACCTAGAGCAAAGCTCAAGGCCACAGGCGCGGACGAGAACCAGGGAGGGCGTGGGGGTCCGGAGTGTGGCAGGTGCCGCATCCTCCTCCTGCTCCCAAGCAAAAGCCTGACTCTCAGCGCTGGTTATTTTGGGGGTGGTGGTGGAAGTTTTTAGGGAGCTGAAGGAATTCTGCACATCACTGCAACTCCCATTTGGCGAGGCAGGGCCTGGTACCTGAGTGTGATCATTGCACAAGCCTGAGACAGGATCAGAGAGCAGGACGCTCAACTGGGAGCAGGGCAGGATGCTATGATAGAAGGGTGTGTGCAGGGCCTGCTGTGAGCACCGGGACCCACGGGGTGGCTGGGCAGGGGCAGCAGGCCTCGCCTCACCTGCGTCCAGCTTGCTGCACTTCTGTTCAGGCATCTGGGGGGCTGGCTGGACCACCCCTCCCTGCTCCTCAGCTGGCAGGATCTGCAAGGTCCTGGCGAGGGTGGTGGGGTCAGCCATCTCCAGGGAGAGGACGCAGTGCACTTCCTGGGGGTTGCAGGCCACCCCATCCTCATCTTGGGTGGAGGCCGTGAGCAGGACCAGTTTGGAGAACTTCCTGGGAGCTGCCGGGATGACGTCTGTGCCTGGCTTGGGAGATGGCTCCTGGCCAGCCTTCACGCTCTCGCCCTCCTGCTCGTTGGACTCGGGCAGGGGCATCCCGGGACCCAGGGCCTGTCCTTCAAGCTGCACTCAGCCCCCAGCAGGTGGATTTCTCCTACTCCCAGGCAAGGAACCTGGAGTCCAGTGGTACTGTCCTGAGGAAGGAAGCAAAATCCCGTCAGTGGAGGAAGCCCTTGGGCCAGGGCTCTAGATACAGAGCTGGGAAGGAGATGGGGCTGCCTCACTGCTCACTGGGGCCAAGGCTGGTGTGGGGCCTAATGGAAATAGGGACCCTGGCTGGTCCTTCTGCTCCACCAGTTCCTTTCCTGGCAGCCTTGGGTACATCACCCTGCTCGAACCCCACTTTCTTCATCTGGAAAATGTACACAATAAACAGCCCTCACAAGGGGCTATCAGGGTGACTAATGACTAAGAGCTGAGCCACTACCCATGGGCCTTCCCACATGCTGAGCACGGACAAAGGGTTTCCACCTTCGTTTCCAGTCCCGCCCCTATGTTTTGCAGCAGGCCCTTCTTATGGACCCAGTTACAGATGAGGACAGTAAGGCAGACACCCATGATATACCTGAGGCTGAAAAGGGGGGACACTGAGCCCCATTTCTGCTCAGATGTCTGGGGACTTGGCAGGACCTTTTTGGAAACTGCGCTTCACCAGGATGCTGGGCACCTATCTCAGGGGTGTGGGCCTGGCACACAGAGCCGTTTCCAGAGGACAGCACCACATCCTGGCCTAGGGGACAGAAACCCCTTTCTGGGCTCCGGCAGACCAAGCCCCCGTCCTAGCCTGCAAGCAAGCCACGGGCCACCCCCACCTCGGGAGATGCCAGGGCCACACCATGGCAGTCACCTTGCACCTGAGCAGTTGCTGTTGCTGCTTCGGCTGGTCAGGGACGGGGCTGAGGCAGCGTCTGGAGAATCATGAGGTCACCGCAGGTTCCCTGGGTTCTAGCATAGAGAAGCAGAGGGCAGACAATGGGGAACCTACGCAGGGCTGTGCGGAGGGGCCTGGGGGCAGTCAGCGGCAGTCATGGTGTTGGGGAGACACTGAGTGTGAGCAGATGGTGGGGTCTTTGCCACCTCTCAGCCTGTAATCGAGACTGCACTCCCTGATGTTTTTAGGGTCTTTACCCCCACCCCACGTGTTGCAGCTCCAATGCCCACTGGTCCCCCACTTTGCTCCAAAGTTCCCTGGCCTGGGAGCCCGGGCAGCTCTGAAGGCCCCATCCCCAGGAAATCACAGGTACCGAGAGGGCTGGCCCCACCACATCTCGCCCAGCCCCAGCCCAGTGCATTCCTCTATGCTGTCCTTCCGAGGCTGCTCATCCCACCCCACAGGGTGACACGAAGTGCAGGGGACAGAGGGCCAACCGGGGATCAGCTGCAGCAAAGACCTCGCCAGTGCCTCCAGAGCAAAGCCGCTCCAGGAAGGAAAGAGTTACGGTGGGAAGCCCCGCCTCCAGTGCTGACTGGCCCTGGCGCAAGTCCCTCAGCCACAGCCCGCATGGCTCCCACGCTCTGCGCTGTGGGTATAAATGGGAATGGATGCGGCTGAACTGGGAAGGAAGAGGCTAAGGGCAGCATGGGGCAGGACTGGATGAATGGGAATAAACGCTGACGGATAGACCGTGGACTTAGCAGGTTCCTTGACCCTGCATCCTCCCGGCTCCCGGCTCCCGCGAGGCCCCCGCCCTCTGGAGAAACTACCCGCTGTTCCGGGGCTGGCCAGGCCCCTAAGAGCTGCTGTCCTTACTGCCGGCCCTCCCCGTGGCCTCCCTCCCAGCCTGGCCGCTTCTGACAATGGCCTTCCTGACAACGCAGGCCGGCACAGCAACTCGCACAGTCCACCCCTCCAGCCGGTCCTGCAGGACGCCGGAGGGCAGGCGGGCAGGGGCCTCGTCCCAGCGGTCAGAGTGGAAGTGGGGACTGAAGTGAGCTTAGCCTGACACTCCCAGGGAGCTGTACCCAAGTCACGGGAGGTGACAGGAGAGAGCCCGGTCCTCCTGGTGAACAATTCCCACTTCTGTTTAAAGGGATTCCAAGACGCATGCGCTTCAACAGATCTGGAAAAAGTTCCAATACAAGAAAAGGCCCCGTCCACTGGCTTGTGGAAGGCTGATGACCTGTTCCCACTCTTGCCCACTGAGGCTCTTGGGTGGCAGATGTTGACCCACCACCACTCCACCCATTAAAGTCCACAGGCCCTTAGGCAACTGGGCTTTGTCTCCACCTGCCTGAATCTGGACTGGGGGTGGGGGGGGGCGGCGGCGCTTGCGTGACCAACAGTGTGGAGGGAAGGTAGGGTACACGTCTGCAGGCCTCACCGGCCAGAGCCCCAGACCTGCAGGGAAGGCAGCTGTAGGAGAGGCTACCTGCAGGGCACTGCCAGATTCCGGGAGACCACCTTATACCCTCCAGCCCAGCAGCCTCTTAGCTGTGTGCAGACGTGAAGGAGCCCCGGGACCCCACAGAACCCTCATCACCAGCGAATTCCTATTATTTTAAACCAGTAAGATCATGGGTTGTATGCTACACAACAGTAGTTGATACATTTGGCCAGTGACTCTACCGGGTTCCGGCTTTTTACTTTTTAGATAGGGCCTTGCTCTTCACCCAGGCTAAATGCAGTGGCAAGATCTCGGCTCACTGCAACCTCCACCTCTTGGGTTTCAGTGATTCTCCCACCTCAGACTCCTGAGTAGCTGCAATTACAGGTACCCATCAACATGCCTGGCTAGTTTTTCTATTTTATGGTAGAGACAGGGTTTCACCATGTTGGCCGGACTGATCTCAAACTCGTGACCTCAGGTGATCCACCTGCTTTGGCCACCCAAAGTGCTGGGATTACAGGCGTGGGCCACTTTGCCCAGCTGGTTCTGGCTTTTTGATAAAGGAATACTATGAACAGTTATGAAATATCTGACATAAAAGCATTTGTGAGCTCCAGAGGACCATGTTACACAAACACTGCATCCCCCAGACAGACGCACACAAAGGGCCTGTATCAATGTGGGAAACAAAAATCTGAAATAGAAGGGACAGCAAAGGAGAATTATGCATTTTAAAACACCTGCACTGGCCAGGTGCAGTGGCTCACACCTGTAATCCCAGCACTTTGGGAGCCGAGGCGGGTTGATCACCTGAGGTCAGGAGTTTCAGACCAGCCTGACCACCATGGCGAGACCCTGTCTCTACTAAAAATACAAAAATTAGCTGGGCCTGGTGGTAGGCACCTGTAATCCCAGCTACTGGAGTGGCTGAGGCAGGAGAATCACTTGATCCCTGGAGGTGGAGGTTGCAATGAGCAGAGATTGCACCACTGCACTCCAGCCTGGGCAACAGAGCGAAACTCCATCTCAAAAATAAAAACAAACAAACATGTGCAACATATGATGTGCCAGGCACAAGGGGACAAACACTGCCTGATTCCACTTGTACGAGGTCCCCAGGGCAGTCAAATCATGGGGACAGAAAGTAGAATGAAGGTGCCAGGGGCAGAAAGGATAGAACATGAGGAGTGTTTCCTGGGGACGGAGTTGCAGTTGGGGGAGGTGAAAAGGTTCCGGAGATGAACAGTGGTGACTGTAAACCAATGACCAGGAGGCTTCAACATTGAGCTCAGTGAGAACAGCTGGTCACAAAGACCAAGGGTTGTATGGTGCAATTTACATGAAATGACCAATATGGTAAATTTTAGGTCATGTATATTTAACCACACACACACACACACACACACACACACGCCATCTGTAACAAACTATACACAAAACACTCCATTTCCCTAACATCAGTGAATGAGGTTCTCTATGCAAGGTACATTTCCTAATAACTAGTTACCCCTCCATGATTTAGAGGCATATTATTTTTATCTGATTCAAAATGTACCCATTTAGGATGGAGTTTTTGTTTGTTTTTTTTTTTGTTTTTTTGGGGACAGAGTCTTAGTCACCAGACTGGAGTGCAGTGGTGCGATCTCGGCTCACTGCAACCTCTGCCTCCTGGGTTCAAGCAATTCTCCTGCCTCAGCCTCCTGAGTAGCTGGGTCTACAGGTGCACACCACCACACCTGGTTAATTTTTGTATTTTTTGGTAGAGACAGGGTTTCACCATATCGGCCAGGCTGGTCTCGAACTCCTGACCTCATTATCTGCCCGCCTTGGCCTCCCAAAGTGCTGGGATTACAGGCGTGATGCACTGTGCCCAGCCAGGATGGGATCTTTTAATTTTATTTTAGAGGCAGGATCTCACTATGGCCCAAACTGGAGTGTGGTGGTGCCATCTCGGCTCACTGCAGCCTCTTCCTCCCAGGCTCAAGCCATCCTCCCACCTCAGCCTCCAGAGTAGCTGGAACCACAGGCGGACACTACCACAACTGGCTAACTTTTGGATTCTTTGTAGAGATGGGGTTTCACCATGTCCCTCAGCATTGTTCTTTCTTTATTTTTTCTTTTCTTTTCTTTTTTTTTTTTTTTTAGATGGAGTTTCGCTCTTTTTACCCAGGCTGGAGTGCAATGGCGCGATCTCAGCTTACCGCAACCTCCGCCTCCTGGGTTCAGGCAATTCTCCTGCCTCAGCCTCCTGAGTAGCTGGGATTACAGGCACGCACCACCATGCCCAGCTAATGTTTTGTATTTTTAGTAGAGACGGGGTTTCACCATGTTGACCAGGATGGTCTCGATCTCTTGACCTCGTGATCCACCCGCCTCGGCCTCCCAAAGTGCTGGGATTACAGGCTTGAGCCACCACGCCCGGCCTAATTAAATTTAAAAAAAATCTTTGGTAGAGACAGGGTCTTGCTATGTTTCCAGGCTGGTCTTGAGCTCCTGGGCTCAAACAATCCTCCCACTTCAGCCTCCCAAGCACAGGCTGGATGTCTCTGTAAGCTCCTCTCACTGCCTTCCCCATCCCGGGAAAGTGAGCACCTGTCCTTCCTCCAGCTTTAGAAGCGTCTCCAGGCCAGGTGTGGTGGCTCAGACCTGCAATCCGAGCACTTTGAGAGGCTGAGGTGAGCGGATTACCTGAGGTCAGGAGTTCGAATTCAAGATCAGCCTGGCCAACATAGTGGAACCCCTTCTCAGTCCTTTGTCTAGGGGAGGGGGGCGGGAAAGGCAGCATCTCCAGCAGCCCCCATAGCAACACTCCTTCAGAGCTCTGGCACCTCTGCTGTGTTACTTCCACTGGGCTCATCAAGGTACTTAAGTTTTTTTTTTAAGGACACAGGAGATCTGACACAAACTCCTCCTTCCCTCAACCACAACTTTGCCTGAGCAGCGCCCCACTTCCTTGTCACCTCGGCCATCTGCAGGCTGCCCCCAGCTCTACAGACATCACCCTCCTCTGAGGACACTGTGCACGTGGATCCAGCTTGGTTCTCCCACCGTCAGGGTCTCCCTCGCACACACCTGCTCCGACCTGGGCCTGGCCTTCAGGGAAGGGAGTTCTCCACACAAAATGTGGTCTATTCAAACAGTGGGATGTTACTCAGCAAAGTCAAAGAAATGAACTTCTGATACACATTACATGCAGACAGTCACAAAGACCAAGGGTCACATGATTCCATTTACATGAAGTGTCCAGAATGGGCCAATCTATGGAGACAGAAAGCTGACTGATGGTTGTCTAGGGCTGGGAGGAACCGAGGGGTTGGAAGTGATGGCGGAGGGGGGTGGGGTTCCTTTCTGGGATAATGAAAATGTTCTCAAACTGATGGTGGTGACGTTTGTACAACTTTCTGAACATATTAAAAGCACTGAATTGTGGACTTCAGATGGGGAAGTTGCATGGTATGTAAATTCTATCTCAGCAAAGTTGTTGAAAACAATCCCTGGCCGGATGTGGTGGCTCACGCCTGGAATCCCAGCACTTTGGGAGGCGGAAGTGGGCGGATCACGAGGTCAGGAGTTTGAGAACAGCCTGGCTAATATGGTGAAATTCCATATCTACTAAAAATACAAAAATTAGGTGGGCTTGGTGGCACGCACCTGTAGTCCCAGGTACTTCAGAGGCTGAGACAGAAGAATTGCCTGGACCTGGGAGGTAGAGGCTGCAAGGAAAACAATCCCTGTCCGAATGACTCACATCCCAAGGGTTTTTGTGAAAAGCAGTTTTTTTGTTTTTGTTTTGAGAAGGAGTCTCACTGTCACCCAGGCTGGAGTGCAGTGGTGTGATCTCAGCTCACTGCAACCTCTGCCTCCCAGATTCAAGCGAATCTCAGGCCTCAGCCTCCTGTGTATCTGGGATTACAGGCACCCACAACCACACCCAGCTAATTTTCTTGTATTTTTAGTAGAGATGGGGTTTCACCATGTTGGCCAGGCTGGTCAAACTCCTGACCTCTAGTTACCTACCCACCTCCCGCACTACTGGGATTGCAGGCACTCTACTAAACAGCAGAAGTTTCTCATTCCTGGGTTTGGTTTACTCATGACAGGAGAGGGGTGGCATGCATTATAAGTTGTGACATTTTCCAAGTTCTAATGTCATATTCTAAAAATATAAAAACTATTTCAGAATATTAAGATTATAATAGTAAATCACCCCAATCTTGTCACTCA